CATTTCCCCCGCGCGACATCCGCAAAAATCCTCGCAGCATGTACGCGCGTGTGCCGCAGGCGATGGCGCAATTTGTTCTAAAAATAGAATTATTGTCCCATATCATGGGGACAACCCCAATACTTGAAATGGCGCGCGCTTACGGTCTCCGTCCCCGATTATGGCTCCTGCCATGACCACATATCCGCAGCATATCTTCGCCGCGTGGTCTGCAGCTTACAAACCAGGTAAATATACAACCATTTGCTCACTAGTAAATCGTTAGACTTGCACCTTCCTTGGACTTGATGATGTCCTCGAGGAGATCGACTTCCTTTAGAAAGCAGTTATAGAAACCTAAATCGATAAGCTCCTTCTCTGAGTTAGCGCGAGACCTAAAATTCCCAACTCAGACACGCGAAATTCGAGTGTAGACTGGGTTAAACGTAACACCCAATGAAAAGGGAAGAAGGGGGGGAGGGTTAGCGACACTTGAAAACAATGAATGAAACATGCAACAAACGGTTCTTTACGCTTCATGCTAGGTAAACTTTACAAGCTGCTGCGTTCAACAAGCAAAACAAAAAGGTTACATGAATGAAGGGGTTCAGTTCTGTGGACATGAACAATCTGAGTCAGATTTCAGTGTTGCCTATGTCAGCAGACCAGCAATTCGAAATTCGTTACCGAGAAAAAAATATAGTGGACATTTTGGCGATGTATACCAAGAATATAGAATGGAAAAACAACGTTTACCAATGCTCATTTTTATTACGTAAAGAGAATCACTATTTTTTTTTTTAATTTAATACACACCACTTACATATACAATTTACATTACATTGGCTAATACAAAAGACGTAATACAGCTAGGGGAAAAGAACAACACTGAATAAAGGAATAACAGAAAAGAATAAGGAACAAAAAATAAATTACAAGATATAAATTGCAAGGCACCTAAGAGTTACCTGCAATCTACTTTCAATACAGTAGTGCTTACGTGTAGTGATAAATAGAACTTAATATAACTGTAAATGTATCGCTTCGAGTCTTTACCTCCTTTTTAAAGTATTGATTTTACGAAAGGGAGAAACAGAATTAGTAAAGAGCACATTTCTCTATTTGCCATTGCATCAACATTTTAGTTTGGAATTCTTCCTAGATCGGTTTTTTCTTAAGAAACTTACAACTGTGGACATATTGATTCAAAAGAATAATAAATAAGTGTAGTCTGCGTCTTGGGTATTCGGATATTTGATGAAAGTCAGGTATTTCATTGAAGGTAATTTGCTCGTTAGAAAGATTAATTTCAGTATCATTTACGCGGTTAAACCACACTAACGCTTCAGAATAGAATGATTTTATCTCAGAGCAATCTAGAAAAGTATGCTCTATTGAGTCTGAGCAAGGGCAAAAGGTACAGGTTGCGTCATCGGTTAATCGAAATTTGAGCAGTTCTTTTTTGGTTACTATAATTCTATGCAATAATCTAAAAGAGAACTGTCTTAACTTGTCGTCTCTTGTTGATTGATATATAAAAGAAAATTGGTTTTTCCATTCTATATAAGTATCGGCAGAGTTGACTTTCCAGGCTTTGACGCCAGTTGTTTCTACTGTGGGGTTTTTATCAAGTATTTTATAATAGTGTTTGCAGCGCATGTCTGCCAAATCTACGAGACTGCTTCCAGGTAAAGAGAACCACTTTATTTTGTAAAGAATATGTACAAGGTTGATCTATTCATTGCGTTCGTGGTTCATGTTAGCTATACCACGATACTATTTCTCTGAAAAATCCCAATCGCTTAACAAAATCGCATTCTCGCGTCTAGGTCTTACGAGTGTCACACGACCCATAAAAAGCGTCGCTTTGGATGTGGTGCCATCAGTAGTGGACGAGGCGCCTTGTCTTATGCCATCCTTGCTGCTTATCAGAAAGCGTTTGAGAAACTGGGGCTGTTTATTGCTCGAAAATCATTGGCTGTATTTGTGGTATCGCTTATAGTTGTTACAGCAAGCTGCCTGGGATTTATTCGCCTGCATGTGGGGCGTCCTGCCGTTGAACGTTTCACCGCAACTGACAGCCAATCCAGGAAAGACTTGCATCATGCAGCACAATTCTTTCCTCTTCTTGAAGCACGCCAAGAACAGATCATCATTGTACCTAAACGTGGCCAGAATATTCTCAGGGAAGATTGCTTGAAAGAAGCGCTTCTTGTCCACCAGACCATAGTAAACATCAGTGGTTATAGTGAAATATGCTCCCGCCAATTACTTCCAAACACCCAACAAAAACCATCCAAACGTGGCTGTATCATCAGCAGTCCTCTCGAATTAGCTGGTACTCAATTTGAAGATTTGAAAAACCTTTCCTCCATTCTCGTTCGCGAGTTGACGAACTCGACACTCGTTTTATCCACTGGACAAACCTTCAACTCCTCCTTCAGGCAAATGCTGGGTAATTTTCAAGTTCAACATGACGCAGATCCACCGACTGCTCGAGCGGACGCTCTTCGAGTTAGTTACTTCATTAAAAAGACCAACACTGAAGAAACCCAAGCAGTTCTTAACTTTGAAACCTCTTTTGAAAGTCTCCTTTCGTCATTGGGTCGTCGCCTAGAGTGTGCAGAACTCTCCTTCAAGACAGGCAAAACAGCAAATGATGCTTTAGAAGACGTCTTGAAGCCAAAGCTTTGGCCTCTTTATTTTTCACCTTTGGCAATGGCTGTTGTTGTCTTCATTGTCTTGCACTTTTCCTCTGATAATCTCAGCAGCCTCACGACAGTCTTACTGATGGTCTCATCTATACTGTTTCCCATGACCTGTTCTGCGGGTATCATCTCAATGACAAACACATCCCTTTTCCCAACTACACTGTTTATTCCCTTTTTGCTTTTGGGAAAAGCAACCTCAGACGTAGTACTCCTCCTGGTGGAATGGGAACGGCAGAAGAAGGTGCCATCACTTGAACATCGTGTCAGTAGCTGTGTTGCGAAAGCAGGATTCCTCGCTGTGTTGTCGGCCGTATATGGAACAATTCTTTCTGGAATTGCCATCAAATCTTCGTTTGACGTGATTTCAGAATTTTTCTTAGCGACACTCGTCACATATGCAGTTAATTCGGCAGCATCCTTTATAGTAACAGTCATACTGTTGATGTATTTTGAAAGAAGGCTGAAGAAACTGGACAATCCTTGTCTACGATCCTGTAGAAGAAAATCATCAACAACTGACTTTGGAAGCTTCGACCAAGGACTTGTGGAATGCCGAAAAGTTAAACTGAAACGCGCTCTAAAAAGCCTTACATGGATAATGACGTCACATGTTGGAAAAATTCTAGCATTTCTTGTCCTCGTCGGCATCATCGTTTTATGTGTGTTGTCTGCCTTGCAAACAGATGAGAGAACGAGCACGACCGAGTCGCTTTACCAAAGTGAAAAGTTTAGGCAGTTTAGTGACGCACAACAAAACTTCTTTGGCAAAGAAACTGATACAAGTGTCGTTTTCTCTGAGAAACTTGACTATTCACAGGAGCACGTACAAAATGGAATAACAAACATGTGTACAAAACTGGAAAAGGCTTCTTACAGCGAAGGAAAATCGTTCTGCTGGATATTAGCCTTTCAACACTGGAAGCAAAACCAAAACAAGACCTGCTTGAACTCAGCTTTCTATCAGTGTTTAGAGCGTTTTCTTAATCAATCCCACAACGGCCCGTTTCGACAAGACTTACACTTTAAAGATACGAATTCTCGACGTATTATTCTGGCATCTCGAATTCATCTGAAGATGGAACTACAGAACCAATTTCGAGAAGACAGGGGATCATTAGAGAAACTGAGAAAAGACTTGCTCGAACAGTCTTCCCTGGAAGCTGTACCAGTCTCTGATAAATTTTTCGATCTTGATGACCTCTATCTGTTGGAGCGAGAAGCAGTCTTCGCAGTCTTCGTAACTGCCACAGCAGTGGTGTTTATATTCTCTCTGTTCTCAAGCACAAGTTTCGGGATGAGCATCTTTCTAGCTATGACATTTGATTTTCTCGTGTTAGAGGCAGCAGCTATAATGGAGGCGTGGAAAATTCATCTGAATCATATTTCCTTTCTCTCCCTCTTTGTGGCGATTATCGTCTCCCTGAATTTTAGTATTCAGGTTGCCCATTCATTTGTATTCTCGGCAAAGCAAAAAATACGAGCTCGCATGAGTGAGGCCCTAATCTCTGTTGGATGGTCTGTGATAACTGCAGCGTCAATAACTATATCTGGGTCAGTCTCATTAGGGCTCATTTATCCAAGTCTAACAGGAATTTTTCATCAACTTGTCCCACTTGTGCTTGTTCTAGGAATGACACACGCTCTCGTCATTTTACCGCCGATAATCGTATTGTTCCTCGAGGTCAAGCACAGTTTTGATTCTCAAAATGACGTAGATGTAGGACCAACCTTCAAGGAACAACACGACGGGCTGTCGTTACAAGTACGAGATGGGAACTTACAACAGCTTAAGTCCAAACGCCCTGGAATTTCCATCGTTGGCATCAGCTGCAGATTTCCTGGTGCTAGCAGCAAGGATCAGTTTTGGTACTTCCTTGAACATGGGAAGTGTGCAAATGGTCCATTCCCCAACAACAGAACTGAACAGCATAAAACGTTCCATGAGCTATATAATCCTAGGCGCTTTGTAAGTGGACGCCTTTCTGCTGTGAATGGATCCTACTTGGAAGAAATAACCCATTTTGACAACCGGTTTTTCGGAATTTCCAATCAAGAAGCCCGTAGCATGGATCCCCAGCAGCGAATTTTGTTGCAGGTGGTGTATGAGGCCATTGAAGATGCTGGAATGCGGCTTGAAGATCTTCAGAAGTGTAGAACAGGGGTATTTGTGGGCGTGATGAATCTGGATTATGTAGCACTTGTGACCGACAAGTCAAATTACAGCAATATCGACCAGTTTTCCTCTACAGGAGGCTCAATGGCTATTCTCGCCAACAGAGTGTCCTTCTGTCTTAACCTAACAGGGCCAAGCCTGGCCGTTGATACAGCATGCTCGTCATCCCTAACCGCGCTTAAACTAGCCTGTGATAACCTGCATAATGAAGACTGCGAGATAGCCATCGTTTGCGCACCTAACATTGTCCTTAATCCAGCTATGCAGATGGTATCCAGCTTAGCCGGGCTCCTGGCGCCAGATGGACGGTGTAAAAGTTTTAATGCATCTGGTGATGGCTATGGACGCGGAGAAGGTTTTGCAGCGGTAATTTTAAAGCTATCAAATGCAGCTTTGAGTGACAAAGATGACCAATATTGCGAGATAATTGCCTGTGGGATGAACAACGATGGACAAAATGCCGTACCAGTCACGGCACCGAGTGCAAAGATGCAAGCTGAACTATCCAGAAGGGTTCTAGAACAGTCGGGAGTGAATCCGGAAGACGTGGATTATTTCGAAGCGCATGGCACTGGTACGGCAATTGGAGATGTGGTAGAGGCTAATTCGATAGCTGAGACCTACACCAGAGGACGTGGAAAGCCCGCACGAAAGCTAAGAGTCGGTTCCGTCAAGTCGAACCTTAATCACACGGAATCAACCTCAGGTCTTGCTGGGCTTATCAAAGTCGCTCTGATGATCAAAAAGAAGAAATATGTACCAACCGTTAACGTACACGTGCTTAATCCTAAACTAAAGCTGGAAGAAAAAGAGCTTGTTGTACAACAAACCAATGAGCCCTGGCTAGAAACAAAAGGAAAACCACGAATAGCAGCTGTAAACTCCTTTGGTTTTGGTGGTTCAAATGTACACCTGCTGCTTCGTGAAGTTACACCCAAACAAGGTTTAGAGGAAGAAATCACTGAACGTCCAAACAATATTCTCGCCCTGTCAGCGCGTTCAAAAGAAGCTCTACAGAAGATGGCAGGACTCTACTCCGAATGGATTAGAATTAACATCGAAGCTATGGATAAGCCTTTTGTGGAAAACTTATGCTACTCTTTAAACGAACGCCGCAGCCAACTTCCACACCGGTTAGCACTTGCCTTTGGATCCACTGCGGAAGCATCCAAGTCTCTTGCAGACTACTCTGATGACTCCATGGGATGGGATAAGTTAGTTTCATACGCAGAAGTGACCTCCAATGGTGGAAAACTCGTCTTCATGTTTGGTGGTCAGGGATCTCAGTGGTATGCTATGGGAAGACAGTTAATTGAGTGTGAAGCTGTTTTTAGGGAAGCTGTTTTGACGGTGACCAACCTACTTAAAGATCTGGGTGTGGCATGGTCGCTCATGGACGAGTTAATGGCACCAGAAGACGTTTCAAGGATTTCGGAGAATTTCTTCGCTCAGCCGGCCACTTTTGCTATCCAATACGCGACTGCACAGTTGCTGATGTCCTGGAAAATCCATCCTTCCGCGGTCATCGGTCACAGTCTCGGAGAGTTTGCAGCTGCCTGTGTTGCTGAGATCGTAACGGTTAGGGAAGCCGTTCAACTGGTGCTGGCTCGCGCCACTCTTCAAGAGAAATGCCCCAATAATGGCGGTATGGCCGCTCTGGGTTTGTCTGAAGAAAGCGCCAAGACATTACTGCTAAAACTTAAGCTAAGTGCCACGCTTGACATCGCCGCAGTTAATGACGCGAAGAGCGTGACAGTGTCTGGAGAAGCCCAATCAATCGAGGCACTGGGTCAACATCTAGCAATTCACGCAAAAGATACTTTCTGGCGAGTTTTAGGAACAAAACGCGCATTTCACAGCACACACATGGAACCCATTAAGAAGCCTTTTCAAGCAGCTATGAAGCGCATCAACGTTAACCCTCAACTGGCGAAAATACCTATGTATTCTACAGTCGAGGGTGAGGTTATCTCGGGTCAGCGGTTTGACGGCGTCTACTGGTGGCGAAATATTCGTTGTCCAGTCCAATTTAATCCAGCTGTAAAGCGTCTGCTGAAAGATGGTTACAAGCAGATTATTGAGATAAGTACGCAGCCTATTTTAGCTCACTACGTCAAACAGATTGCTCTTCAAAACAATCTTAAAAATCAAGAAATGCCAGTTGTCGTGGCAACTCTCCCGCGCAAAAGGGTACCTGTGCAAGACCAGCACAAGAGTTTTCTTCAAAATACAGTATGTAAACTGTATACAATGGGATTTCCCATAGACTGGGCTTGCGTACAACCAAATCCATCGGCTAAGTTTGTCCGTTCACTCAACTATCCATGGATAGAGAAGAGCTTCTGGTATAGGGAACATCCACCCGAAACCATAATCTCACCTATTGGAGCTGAGAAAACCATCAAGCAAACACATCCCTTTCTAGGACAAGTGAAGATGACTGACCTGAATTCAGGCCTGCATTGCTGGGAGACCGAGATTGACCTACACCGCTTTCCAACTCTGAAGGATCACGCCCTTATTCAAGGAGGTACTGTGATGCCCGGATCTGCTTACCTAGAAATGGCCTTTGCAATGGTCATGGACAAGTTCGTAGACGTCGCTGGCTTAGAACTAAGTGATGTGAAGCTTTCAAGTCTTCTCACACTGCCAGAAACACAGGTAAACAAAAATTATTGTACTAAACAAAATGAGAGTTTCATAAAAGTACTTGCAGCAAATAATTTAGTTTTTTTTGTACTTTAGGTTCGTTCCCTACGACTACGTCTCCTGAAGAGCAACAGAATTGACGAAGCTCAGTTCTACATAACAAGCGTTCAGGGCGACCGCTCCGAAATTAACCTGAGTAGCGGTAAAATCTCCGTGGATCTATTACACAAGCAAAAGCACTTTGAGGAAGAAGGTACTTTAACCCTTGCAGGCTTTGTTGTTGTTGTGTTATTTTCTTCTCGCCTTTATTCGTTTATAAATTCTTTGCAATATTTTACTCTCCTAGATATTCTTAAAGCTTTCTAGAAATAGCTAGCTAGTTTTTCATGGCTGGCTCTGCCAACGTCTAAGGTCTACCAAATTCTGTCCTGTGACCAATAACCCGCCATTAGTGTTTAACAATTATTCGCCTAGGCGCAGTGAAAATTGGTGAATATTTACGGCGAATAATTGTTTTAGTATAATTTTCAGAGGTAAATATCAAGAACTACAAAATAACGGACCAAAACTTAAAAACACTGACGCAGTTGTTCGTTTCCTGACACGTATGTAGCCGTAGTTTTAATAATAAGCTAAGGTGTACATTGATTGTGAATCAATTTACACATCAAGTTCGGCGGGAAAACAAACAAGCGAACATTACGAAAATTAAATTCATCCGGTACCCTTGTTTTATCGTTTTTGACTTCCTTCACCGTTGTCATCATCGTCTAAAAATGAGTAGCCTCAGCCTACTGGTAATCAAATATCCTGGACTTGGAGTAATGTCTTTCCAGTAAATGATAATTTCATTCAGCAACTGTCCGCCATGTTTACTTGGCAAGATAGCAAAGGTGGTGAGCTTAGTAACCAAGCTCAGAAATGTTATATTCACCGTCTAGTGCGGTGAATATAGCGTCATAAGCGGAGTTTTTCGACGAATCAGAGTGTCCAATTCTTATATTCACCTCTGGAAATTGTACTAATATTGATTATCTACCAAGCTTGGTCAACAATCCATAATATGGAAGTTAAACGTAAAATTGATTCTTTTTTGCTTTCTCGCAGCTTCCAATGAGGTTGGACCAGCCGTAAAGGAACTCATCACAAATATGACGACTATGCCGATGGAACAGTTTAAAGAAATAACGGAGAGGTATGGCTTCAACTATGGGCCTAATTTCTGGATCATCAAACAAATATGGTGGGGTGATAACGAGGGACTTTGCTTAGTTGATATCAGTGGATCGCCCGTCATTCAAAAAGAAGCTGGTGATTATGTGATCCATCCTTCCATTTTAGACACATGTCTTCAATCCTGCTTTGTTCCACTTGGGAACTTAGAAACTGAAGACACCTCCGTTGTGCCAGTGGGTTTCAAGAGAATTTCTCTGTGCAACATGCCCTGTACCAAACAGCTGTACTGTCACGTCACTGCGGATGCGACTGAGTTTGGAAAATTTGATGTTTCCCTCATGAGTCCGTCCGGAAACGTTTTACTTACCATGAGTGAGTTTCGCATCGCAGAGTTGACTAGCACACCAAGGCGATTTCTCCTTGATGGCCTTGCCTATGAAATTCAGTGGATGGAGGATGAGTTACACAAGCAAAGCAAAACCTCACCAAACGTGACTTGCCTAGTGCTTAGAGAATCCACCGATTTCTCTGATTTGTTAGTCACAAGACTTCAGGAAGCTAAAGTCAATGTCATCACAGTTGAGCCGCCAAATGCCGGATGCTTCAACTCCCAAGCAGAAGAGACAATCAGCGCAGCTTTTTCCAATGTACCACCCAGTCACTCATCCAACCTAAAGGTCATCAACATGTGGCCGGTGGAAACGACTCTTCTACCAAATAGCTTCCATGTGATTGATCAAGCCCAAAACCTCGCCTTAAGCAGCTCTGTCTTCTTGCTTAAGCTGGTGATTGAGAAGGAGTGGTTCGATACTCGACTGTTCCTCATCACCGAACGTACACAGCTGTTAGACGCCTGTGACAAGTCTTCTACGACTGATACAATCCCATGGGCTTCTACAGTCTGGGGTCTTCGACGAACGGCAAACCTCGAAGAATTCAATTTCAGGGTAACAGCTGTTGACCTGAACAACAAAAGTGATATACGTGAAGCGGGTTCCTTGATTGATGAGATTCTGGGTGACAGCATTGAAGAAGAAGTGGCCTTTCGAGATGGCAAACGTTTCATAAGTCGTGTGGTGAGAACAGCTATTTCCCCTGAGCAACCAAAAGCAATTAGATGTGAACTGAAGAAGAAGAAGAGGTCCATGTACTTATCATCTATTCCATCATCAAGAACACTATGCCTGCGCGTAAACAGTCATTCAAAGACATCCGCTTCTGAGCTCAAGATAGACCTGCTATATTGCTGGACACCCTCTGAATCACTGATAGATATATCCAGACCAAGAGGATGTGTCTTCGTCGTTGGAAAGGTGACTGGTCTACCAGAAAACAGCGAGAACACTCAGATACAGATTGGAGATGAGGTGTGTGGTGTCATCGCTTCTGGACGGGTTTCTCCCTCCCTTTCCATCCAAACAAACAACGTGTTTGTAAAACCAACCAGCGTGACAGAGGAACAAGCAGCTTACATCCCCGCGTGCCTAGCTATAGCTTTTCATGCTCTTCAAAGAGTTGACTCAGGAAAACACGAAAGCCTGAAATTACTGATACATGCAGCCAACCGTGGCCCTGGACCAGCAGCAGTTGTCCTTGCAAGAACACTAGGACACAGAGTGTTTTGCACCATCTCCGACACTTGCCACACGTCCACGAAAGCTCTTCTTCTTGAGCTGGGTGCGGAAAGAGTTGTGCGTCAGAGTTCCTATGGTCTGAAGGATAATTCTCTACACAGTTTTGATGGCGTCGTATTTTTTTACTCACCATCTCCGAATGTCCTCCAAAAAAGTAATCGGAGTCTCAAACGAGGAGGACGTGTTGTCATCTTGAGTTCCGAGTTTGAAGGTGACGTAGTTATTCCTGCGAATGCAAATGTGAGATATGAGAAAGAGGACATATCAGACATTCTCCGATCACCTCTGGCTTTTGAGAAGCTCAGTTTAGAAAGTCTGGCATTGTTGGAAGGCAAAGAAGTCCTGGAAAAGCTTCTAGGAATGCAGCTGGTGTCTGCAGACTTGGCAACGTCAATACAGGCTGCCAACGAGTCCATTGACAAACTTACACCTCCAAACAACCAAACGAAGGCAACCTCAAGCATTTCGTATCTAATTCACTCGTTTCCACCACCTGAAAAAGAGATTAACCTTGACAAGATTCCTGTCTTTCCATGTGGCTTAGATGAATGTGGCTTGAAAAAGGACAGAACATACTTGGTGGCAGGAGGGCTTCGAGGATTTGGATTTGAAGTGGCCCGCTGGATGGCAGAGAATGGTGCAACGTCAATAGGGCTTATCAGTCGATCAAAGCCCTCAGATGACAAAAGTCGAGAAATACTAGAGATAGAAGAAAGGACAGGCGCAAAGATCTATACGTTCCAGGTATGTCGTTTCCATAGCTAAAAGCTTTGGTAGGTACGTGACCTTAAACAAAACGTTTTTGACGAAGAAAAGCATGTCAAAAATCTTAAAAGTACACACAAGTAAATTTCATGTTTTTGTCTCTCATAGACTGACATCTCCAGCGACGAACAAATGTCCCCCTTTAAAGAGCAGCTTCAACCCCTTCCAAGTGTTGCTGGTGTCGTACACTCTGCCATGGTCTTAAGAGATGAGTTTGTCAAAGAGTGGACATTTGAGAGCTTCACAGATGTCATGGGTCCTAAAATAAAAGGTAATACGCTTATTCCCGCGTATCTGTTATTATCCGAAACAACGGTACCAAGAAACGATATAGCCCCCTTCTTGCAATAAGCTGCTGTTATTGAATTAAGGCATACTCTGAATCTGGTCTGTAAAATAAGCGTTCTAATGTCAGTGAGCTCCCATATTTGTCACTTTAATCTTTCTTTGCATCCTTCCGCTGTGATATGCCCAACGAGCTTCTCAACAATTTTAACATGTTATGAGAATGTTACAATAAGTTCGCCATTCCCAGTGAAAATCCTCTCTTAAGCTCCGATTATAAAATTAGTGGCCTAAGAGCTAAATCCAATCATTCAATTCATTGTTAGGTTCCTTCTTGCTGCACCAAATGAGCTTGGAAATGGATCTTGATTTCTTCGTCATGTTTTCGTCCATGGCTTCAATACTTGGTAACATGGGACAATCGTCATACTCAGGCTGCAACGCTTTTCAAGATTCTCTTGCCCAGTACCGACGAGACGTGCTCGGTCTTCCTGGACTTTCGATTAACTGGGGACCAATCAGTGGAGCTGGCGTAATGGAAAGGGAAAGTGCTGTAGCTAAACTGCTGACCATAGCAGGACTGGGCTTTATTGATGCCAGAGAAGGTAAGCTGTAAAGCTATTACTAAATTAAAACTCATAGGGTACTATGTGCCTTACATTCTCACAAGAACTTTTTTTAAGAACAGCGTAGTCGTCAACTTGAATTCATGGAGTCAACCATCACAATTTAATTATTACTGCTAACTATTATTGCAGGAGTCCAACACATGATCAAAGTGTTAACTGAAGAACCGAGCCGCTTCCAAATCGGTGTTAGACGGTAAAGACCTCCAGCAGGTTCAACACGAGCTAGACAAAGCGTACAACAACACGGCGCTGATGCGAAATGGACGTCCATTCTGGTACAACTTCAACCGCATGTTTGGTGATGCCAACCGAGAAGGTGGAAGCATAACCGAGGCGAAAGCACTGCAAATGGTGTACTTCATCCGTGACCCTAGTGACGACGAAACGAACGAAAAGATTATTGAGTGGCCTCTTTAGTGGGCAAACTCAGTTGTTTTGAAGTCCACTACTCAAGTGAGAGCAGCGGATCTGATGTCAGCTGGGTCTCAATCACTTTCACTCTCGTGATCACCTTCGCTTGTTTCATACTTGAATCCGCTGACCAGTCACTCTTCCAAAAAGAGAGTTTCATAAAAGCACTGGCAGCAAATAATTTAGTTTTTTTTGTACTTTAGGTTCGTTCCCTACGACTACGTCTCCTGAACAAGCGTTCAGGGCGACCGGTCCGAAATTAACCTGAGTAGCGGTAAAATCTCCGTGGATCTATTACACAAGCAAAAGCACTTTGAGGAAGAAGGTACTTTAACCCTTGCAGGCTTTGTTGTTGTTGTGTTATTTTCTTCTCGCCTTTATTCGTTTATAAATTCTTTGCAATATTTTACTCTCCTAGATATTCTTAAAGCTTTCTAGAAATAGCTAGCTAGTTTTTCATGGCTGGCTCTGCCAACGTCTAAGGTCTACCAAATTCTGTCCTGTGACCAATAACCCGCCATTAGTGTTTAACAATTATTCGCCTAGGCGCAGTGAAAATTGGTGAATATTTACGGCGAATAATTGTTTTAGTATAATTTTCAGAGGTAAATATCAAGAACTACAAAATAACGGACCAAAACTTAAAAACACTGACGCAGTTGTTCGTTTCCTGACACGTATGTAGCCGTAGTTTTAATAATAAGCTAAGGTGTACATTGATTGTGAATCAATTTACACATCAAGTTCGGCGGGAAAACAAACAAGCGAACATTACGAAAATTAAATTCATCCGGTACCCTTGTTTTATCGTTTTTGACTTCCTTCACCGTTGTCATCATCGTCTAAAAATGAGTAGCCTCAGCCTACTGGTAATCAAATATCCTGGACTTGGAGTAATGTCTTTCCAGTAAATGATAATTTCATTCAGCAACTGTCCGCCATGTTTACTTGGCAAGATAGCAAAGGTGGTGAGCTTAGTAACCAAGCTCAGAAATGTTATATTCACCGTCTAGTGCGGTGAATATAGCGTCATAAGCGGAGTTTTTCGACGAATCAGAGTGTCCAATTCTTATATTCACCTCTGGAAATTGTACTAATATTGATTATCTACCAAGCTTGGTCAACAATCCATAATATGGAAGTTAAACGTAAAATTGATTCTTTTTTGCTTTCTCGCAGCTTCCAATGAGGTTGGACCAGCCGTAAAGGAACTCATCACAAATATGACGACTATGCCGATGGAACAGTTTAAAGAAATAACGGAGAGGTATGGCTTCAACTATGGGCCTAATTTCTGGATCATCAAACAAATATGGTGGGGTGATAACGAGGGACTTTGCTTAGTTGATATCAGTGGATCGCCCGTCATTCAAAAAGAAGCTGGTGATTATGTGATCCATCCTTCCATTTTAGACACATGTCTTCAATCCTGCTTTGTTCCACTTGGGAACTTAGAAACTGAAGACACCTCCGTTGTGCCAGTGGGTTTCAAGAGAATTTCTCTGTGCAACATGCCCTGTACCAAACAGCTGTACTGTCACGTCACTGCGGATGCGACTGAGTTTGGAAAATTTGATGTTTCCCTCATGAGTCCGTCCGGAAACGTTTTACTTACCATGAGTGAGTTTCGCATCGCAGAGTTGACTAGCACACCAAGGCGATTTCTCCTTGATGGCCTTGCCTATGAAATTCAGTGGATGGAGGATGAGTTACACAAGCAAAGCAAAACCTCACCAAACGTGACTTGCCTAGTGCTTAGAGAATCCACCGATTTCTCTGATTTGTTAGTCACAAGACTTCAGGAAGCTAAAGTCAATGTCATCACAGTTGAGCCGCCAAATGCCGGATGCTTCAACTCCCAAGCAGAAGAGACAATCAGCGCAGCTTTTTCCAATGTACCACCCAGTCACTCATCCAACCTAAAGGTCATCAACATGTGGCCGGTGGAAACGACTCTTCTACCAAATAGCTTCCATGTGATTGATCAAGCCCAAAACCTCGCCTTAAGCAGCTCTGTCTTCTTGCTTAAGCTGGTGATTGAGAAGGAGTGGTTCGATACTCGACTGTTCCTCATCACCGAACGTACACAGCTGTTAGACGCCTGTGACAAGTCTTCTACGACTGATACAATCCCATGGGCTTCTACAGTCTGGGGTCTTCGACGAACGGCAAACCTCGAAGAATTCAATTTCAGGGTAACAGCTGTTGACCTGAACAACAAAAGTGATATACGTGAAGCGGGTTCCTTGATTGATGAGATTCTGGGTGACAGCATTGAAGAAGAAGTGGCCTTTCGAGATGGCAAACGTTTCATAAGTCGTGTGGTGAGAACAGCTATTTCCCCTGAGCAACCAAAAGCAATTAGATGTGAACTGAAGAAGAAGAAGAGGTCCATGTACTTATCATCTATTCCATCATCAAGAACACTATGCCTGCGCGTAAACAGTCATTCAAAGACATCCGCTTCTGAGCTCAAGATAGACCTGCTATATTGCTGGACACCCTCTGAATCACTGATAGATATATCCAGACCAAGAGGATGTGTCTTCGTCGTTGGAAAGGTGACTGGTCTACCAGAAAACAGCGAGAACACTCAGATACAGATTGGAGATGAGGTGTGTGGTGTCATCGCTTCTGGACGGGTTTCTCCCTCCCTTTCCATCCAAACAAACAACGTGTTTGTAAAACCAACCAGCGTGACAGAGGAACAAGCAGCTTACATCCCCGCGTGCCTAGCTATAGCTTTTCATGCTCTTCAAAGAGTTGACTCAGGAAAACACGAAAGCCTGAAATTACTGATACATGCAGCCAACCGTGGCCCTGGACCAGCAGCAGTTGTCCTTGCAAGAACACTAGGACACAGAGTGTTTTGCACCATCTCCGACACTTGCCACACGTCCACGAAAGCTCTTCTTCTTGAGCTGGGTGCGGAAAGAGTTGTGCGTCAGAGTTCCTATGGTCTGAAGGATAATTCTCTACACAGTTTTGATGGCGTCGTATTTTTTTACTCACCATCTCCGAATGTCCTCCAAAAAAGTAATCGGAGTCTCAAACGAGGAGGACGTGTTGTCATCTTGAGTTCCGAGTTTGAAGGTGACGTAGTTATTCCTGCGAATGCAAATGTGAGATATGAGAAAGAGGACATATCAGACATTCTCCGATCACCTCTGGCTTTTGAGAAGCTCAGTTTAGAAAGTCTGGCATTGTTGGAAGGCAAAGAAGTCCTGGAAAAGCTTCTAGGAATGCAGCTGGTGTCTGCAGACTTGGCAACGTCAATACAGGCTGCCAACGAGTCCATTGACAAACTTACACCTCCAAACAACCAAACGAAGGCAACCTCAAGCATTTCGTATCTAATTCACTCGTTTCCACCACCTGAAAAAGAGATTAACCTTGACAAGATTCCTGTCTTTCCATGTGGCTTAGATGAATGTGGCTTGAAAAAGGACAGAACATACTTGGTGGCAGGAGGGCTTCGAGGATTTGGATTTGAAGTGGCCCGCTGGATGGCAGAGAATGGTGCAACGTCAATAGGGCTTATCAGTCGATCAAAGCCCTCAGATGACAAAAGTCGAGAAATACTAGAGATAGAAGAAAGGACAGGCGCAAAGATCTATACGTTCCAGGTATGTCGTTTCCATAGCTAAAAGCTTTGGTAGGTACGTGACCTTAAACAAAACGTTTTTGACGAAGAAAAGCATGTCAAAAATCTTAAAAGTACACACAAGTAAATTTCATGTTTTTGTCTCTCATAGACTGACATCTCCAGCGACGAACAAATGTCCCCCTTTAAAGAGCAGCTTCAACCCCTTCCAAGTGTTGCTGGTGTCGTACACTCTGCCATGGTCTTAAGAGATGAGTTTGTCAAAGAGTGGACATTTGAGAGCTTCACAGATGTCATGGGTCCTAAAATAAAAGGTAATACGCTTATTCCCGCGTATCTGTTATTATCCGAAACAACGGTACCAAGAAACGATATAGCCCCCTTCTTGCAATAAGCTGCTGTTATTGAATTAAGGCATACTCTGAATCTGGTCTGTAAAATAAGCGTTCTAATGTCAGTGAGCTCCCATATTTGTCACTTTAATCTTTCTTTGCATCCTTCCGCTGTGATATGCCCAACGAGCTTCTCAACAATTTTAACATGTTATGAGAATGTTACAATAAGTTCGCCATTCCCAGTGAAAATCCTCTCTTAAGCTCCGATTATAAAATTAGTGGCCTAAGAGCTAAATCCAATCATTCAATTCATTGTTAGGTTCCTTCTTGCTGCACCAAATGAGCTTGGAAATGGATCTTGATTTCTTCGTCATGTTTTCGTCCATGGCTTCAATACTTGGTAACATGGGACAATCGTCATACTCAGGCTGCAACGCTTTTCAAGATTCTCTTGCCCAGTACCGACGAGACGTGCTCGGTCTTCCTGGACTTTCGATTAACTGGGGACCAATCAGTGGAGCTGGCGTAATGGAAAGGGAAAGTGCTGTAGCTAAACTGCTGACCATAGCAGGACTGGGCTTTATTGATGCCAGAGAAGGTAAGCTGTAAAGCTATTACTAAATTAAAACTCATAGGGTACTATGTGCCTTACATTCTCACAAGAACTTTTTTTAAGAACAGCGTAGTCGTCAACTTGAATTCATGGAGTCAACCATCACAATTTAATTATTACTGCTAACTATTATTGCAGGAGTCCAACACATGATCAAAGTGTTAACTGAAGAACCGAGCCGCTTCCAAATCGGTTCCGAAATTAACCTGAGTAGCGGTAAAATCTCCGTGGATCTATTACACAAGCAAAAGCACTTTGAGGAAGAAGGTACTTTAACCCTTGCAGGCTTTGTTGTTGTTGTGTTATTTTCTTCTCGCCTTTATTCGTTTATAAATTCTTTGCAATATTTTACTCTCCTAGATATTCTTAAAGCTTTCTAGAAATAGCTAGCTAGTTTTTCATGGCTGGCTCTGCCAACGTCTAAGGTCTACCAAATTCTGTCCTGTGACCAATAACCCGCCATTAGTGTTTAACAATTATTCGCCTAGGCGCAGTGAAAATTGGTGAATATTTACGGCGAATAATTGTTTTAGTATAATTTTCAGAGGTAAATATCAAGAACTACAAAATAACGGACCAAAACTTAAAAACACTGACGCAGTTGTTCGTTTCCTGACACGTATGTAGCCGTAGTTTTAATAATAAGCTAAGGTGTACATTGATTGTGAATCAATTTACACATCAAGTTCGGCGGGAAAACAAACAAGCGAACATTACGAAAATTAAATTCATCCGGTACCCTTGTTTTATCGTTTTTGACTTCCTTCACCGTTGTCATCATCGTCTAAAAATGAGTAGCCTCAGCCTACTGGTAATCAAATATCCTGGACTTGGAGTAATGTCTTTCCAGTAAATGATAATTTCATTCAGCAACTGTCCGCCATGTTTACTTGGCAAGATAGCAAAGGTGGTGAGCTTAGTAACCAAGCTCAGAAATGTTATATTCACCGTCTAGTGCGGTGAATATAGCGTCATAAGCGGAGTTTTTCGACGAATCAGAGTGTCCAATTCTTATATTCACCTCTGGAAATTGTACTAATATTGATTATCTACCAAGCTTGGTCAACAATCCATAATATGGAAGTTAAACGTAAAATTGATTCTTTTTTGCTTTCTCGCAGCTTCCAATGAGGTTGGACCAGCCGTAAAGGAACTCATCACAAATATGACGACTATGCCGATGGAACAGTTTAAAGAAATAACGGAGAGGTATGGCTTCAACTATGGGCCTAATTTCTGGATCATCAAACAAATATGGTGGGGTGATAACGAGGGACTTTGCTTAGTTGATATCAGTGGATCGCCCGTCATTCAAAAAGAAGCTGGTGATTATGTGATCCATCCTTCCATTTTAGACACATGTCTTCAATCCTGCTTTGTTCCACTTGGGAACTTAGAAACTGAAGACACCTCCGTTGTGCCAGTGGGTTTCAAGAGAATTTCTCTGTGCAACATGCCCTGTACCAAACAGCTGTACTGTCACGTCACTGCGGATGCGACTGAGTTTGGAAAATTTGATGTTTCCCTCATGAGTCCGTCCGGAAACGTTTTACTTACCATGAGTGAGTTTCGCATCGCAGAGTTGACTAGCACACCAAGGCGATTTCTCCTTGATGGCCTTGCCTATGAAATTCAGTGGATGGAGGATGAGTTACACAAGCAAAGCAAAACCTCACCAAACGTGACTTGCCTAGTGCTTAGAGAATCCACCGATTTCTCTGATTTGTTAGTCACAAGACTTCAGGAAGCTAAAGTCAATGTCATCACAGTTGAGCCGCCAAATGCCGGATGCTTCAACTCCCAAGCAGAAGAGACAATCAGCGCAGCTTTTTCCAATGTACCACCCAGTCACTCATCCAACCTAAAGGTCATCAACATGTGGCCGGTGGAAACGACTCTTCTACCAAATAGCTTCCATGTGATTGATCAAGCCCAAAACCTCGCCTTAAGCAGCTCTGTCTTCTTGCTTAAGCTGGTGATTGAGAAGGAGTGGTTCGATACTCGACTGTTCCTCATCACCGAACGTACACAGCTGTTAGACGCCTGTGACAAGTCTTCTACGACTGATACAATCCCATGGGCTTCTACAGTCTGGGGTCTTCGACGAACGGCAAACCTCGAAGAATTCAATTTCAGGGTAACAGCTGTTGACCTGAACAACAAAAGTGATATACGTGAAGCGGGTTCCTTGATTGATGAGATTCTGGGTGACAGCATTGAAGAAGAAGTGGCCTTTCGAGATGGCAAACGTTTCATAAGTCGTGTGGTGAGAACAGCTATTTCCCCTGAGCAACCAAAAGCAATTAGATGTGAACTGAAGAAGAAGAAGAGGTCCATGTACTTATCATCTATTCCATCATCAAGAACACTATGCCTGCGCGTAAACAGTCATTCAAAGACATCCGCTTCTGAGCTCAAGATAGACCTGCTATATTGCTGGACACCCTCTGAATCACTGATAGATATATCCAGACCAAGAGGATGTGTCTTCGTCGTTGGAAAGGTGACTGGTCTACCAGAAAACAGCGAGAACACTCAGATACAGATTGGAGATGAGGTGTGTGGTGTCATCGCTTCTGGACGGGTTTCTCCCTCCCTTTCCATCCAAACAAACAACGTGTTTGTAAAACCAACCAGCGTGACAGAGGAACAAGCAGCTTACATCCCCGCGTGCCTAGCTATAGCTTTTCATGCTCTTCAAAGAGTTGACTCAGGAAAACACGAAAGCCTGAAATTACTGATACATGCAGCCAACCGTGGCCCTGGACCAGCAGCAGTTGTCCTTGCAAGAACACTAGGACACAGAGTGTTTTGCACCATCTCCGACACTTGCCACACGTCCACGAAAGCTCTTCTTCTTGAGCTGGGTGCGGAAAGAGTTGTGCGTCAGAGTTCCTATGGTCTGAAGGATAATTCTCTACACAGTTTTGATGGCGTCGTATTTTTTTACTCACCATCTCCGAATGTCCTCCAAAAAAGTAATCGGAGTCTCAAACGAGGAGGACGTGTTGTCATCTTGAGTTCCGAGTTTGAAGGTGACGTAGTTATTCCTGCGAATGCAAATGTGAGATATGAGAAAGAGGACATATCAGACATTCTCCGATCACCTCTGGCTTTTGAGAAGCTCAGTTTAGAAAGTCTGGCATTGTTGGAAGGCAAAGAAGTCCTGGAAAAGCTTCTAGGAATGCAGCTGGTGTCTGCAGACTTGGCAACGTCAATACAGGCTGCCAACGAGTCCATTGACAAACTTACACCTCCAAACAACCAAACGAAGGCAACCTCAAGCATTTCGTATCTAATTCACTCGTTTCCACCACCTGAAAAAGAGATTAACCTTGACAAGATTCCTGTCTTTCCATGTGGCTTAGATGAATGTGGCTTGAAAAAGGACAGAACATACTTGGTGGCAGGAGGGCTTCGAGGATTTGGATTTGAAGTGGCCCGCTGGATGGCAGAGAATGGTGCAACGTCAATAGGGCTTATCAGTCGATCAAAGCCCTCAGATGACAAAAGTCGAGAAATACTAGAGATAGAAGAAAGGACAGGCGCAAAGATCTATACGTTCCAGGTATGTCGTTTCCATAGCTAAAAGCTTTGGTAGGTACGTGACCTTAAACAAAACGTTTTTGACGAAGAAAAGCATGTCAAAAATCTTAAAAGTACACACAAGTAAATTTCATGTTTTTGTCTCTCATAGACTGACATCTCCAGCGACGAACAAATGTCCCCCTTTAAAGAGCAGCTTCAACCCCTTCCAAGTGTTGCTGGTGTCGTACACTCTGCCATGGTCTTAAGAGATGAGTTTGTCAAAGAGTGGACATTTGAGAGCTTCACAGATGTCATGGGTCCTAAAATAAAAGGTAATACGCTTATTCCCGCGTATCTGTTATTATCCGAAACAACGGTACCAAGAAACGATATAGCCCCCTTCTTGCAATAAGCTGCTGTTATTGAATTAAGGCATACTCTGAATCTGGTCTGTAAAATAAGCGTTCTAATGTCAGTGAGCTCCCATATTTGTCACTTTAATCTTTCTTTGCATCCTTCCGCTGTGATATGCCCAACGAGCTTCTCAACAATTTTAACATGTTATGAGAATGTTACAATAAGTTCGCCATTCCCAGTGAAAATCCTCTCTTAAGCTCCGATTATAAAATTAGTGGCCTAAGAGCTAAATCCAATCATTCAATTCATTGTTAGGTTCCTTCTTGCTGCACCAAATGAGCTTGGAAATGGATCTTGATTTCTTCGTCATGTTTTCGTCCATGGCTTCAATACTTGGTAACATGGGACAATCGTCATACTCAGGCTGCAACGCTTTTCAAGATTCTCTTGCCCAGTACCGACGAGACGTGCTCGGTCTTCCTGGACTTTCGATTAACTGGGGACCAATCAGTGGAGCTGGCGTAATGGAAAGGGAAAGTGCTGTAGCTAAACTGCTGACCATAGCAGGACTGGGCTTTATTGATGCCAGAGAAGGTAAGCTGTAAAGCTATTACTAAATTAAAACTCATAGGGTACTATGTGCCTTACATTCTCACAAGAACTTTTTTTAAGAACAGCGTAGTCGTCAACTTGAATTCATGGAGTCAACCATCACAATTTAATTATTACTGCTAACTATTATTGCAGGAGTCCAACACATGATCAAAGTGTTAACTGAAGAACCGAGCCGCTTCCAAATCGGTCTTTGTGGTGTGGATTGGCCTCGATTCATAAAAAGTAACACCGGGCTGAGGAAGACGTCTCGACTCTCGATAATCACTGCTGAAATTAGCACTTCTGAGACCCAGACTTCCTCAGAGTCTCTGGTGCAAAGAATTATGATGGAGAAGAACCCAGAAAGGAAAAGCGAGCTTGTCAAGGAGTACATTACTTTGTGCGTGAGAGAATGGACAGGAATGTCCTCGCGCTCTGAGACTGATCTCAACAAGAGCTTGTACAGCTACGGTATCGACTCAACCGCGGCTCTGACCATTAAAATGCAACTTGAAGCCAATTTGCAGGTTTCCTTTGAGGTGGGTTGCTTAATCACATTTGAATTCAAAGGATGACCAAGATCTACCTCCCCTTAAAGTGTCCATTTTTTGGCTTCATTCATCATTTTACTAAAGATTGATTCCTCTAAAGTTAAGTTTCAGTGAAATTCAGTTCCCATATTCATCTCTCTTGGTTATCATTAGCATGTACGTGACATTTCTTGGTAACAGATACTGAGTTGTAGTGCTGTAGTCAGTGTATAAAATTGTTTTACACATTTCCGAATTGAAACCAGTAATTAATCTTTTACTTTTTTCAGACTTTCTACTTCATGCAGCCTGATACCACTCCACTAAAACTAGGAAGAGATATCACAGCTAAACTTATCGGACAAGCATCGAGTAATCAAACTCAGAGTACCGAGAATCAAAACGATGGACCTGCTCAGGCACAATCAATGGCGGACACATCTTCGTCACCCAGTACGTCAGACAGTCAAGTACAAGTTGTACCGCTGCACACTCCTGCTGGCGCAGCTATCAAGTTCTTCTGTGTACATCCATCACACCGCTATGCGTTGAATTTGGTGCCAATTTCTACGGGATTTCAAGGCCAGGTAAATATCAGTCCGTGGAAAAAACATTTCCAAGAGCTCTAGACCCCGTTGCTAGTGACAAATTCTCCTCATCGATCTCTATACCTTTCATATACTTATAGCTGGGAGAATCTGTCTAAAGTCACATGGTTCTTCAAAGTTGAGGTTGATACAGTCCCTTTCACTTTTATTCACTTTTAGCCAGCAACGCTGACTCCATTCTGTATAAATTTTTTTTTTTTNAACACATGATCAAAGTGTTAACTGAAGAACCGAGCCGCTTCCAAATCGGTCTTTGTGGTGTGGATTGGCCTCGATTCATAAAAAGTAACACTGGGCTGAGGAAGACATCTCGACTCTCAATAATCACTGCTGAAATCAGCACTTCTGAGACCCAGACTTCCTCAGAGTCTCTGGTGCAAAGAATTAGGATGGAGAAGAACCCAGAAAAGAAAAGCGAGCTTGTCAAGGAGTACATTACTTTGTCCGTGAGAGAATGGACAGGAATGTCTTCGCGCTCTGAGACTGATCTGAACAAAAGCTTGTACAGCTACGGTATCGACTCAACCGCGGCTCTGACCTTAAAAATGCAACTTGAAGCCAATTTGCAGGTGTCCTTTGAGGTGGGTTGCTTAATGACATTTGAATTCAAAGGATGACCAACATCTACCTCCCCTTAAAGTGTCCATTTTTTGGCTTCATTTATCATTTATCTTCATTTTATGTTTCCAAGTGATTGATTCTTCTAAAGTTAAGTTTCAGTGAAATTCAGTTCCCATATTCATCCCTCTTGGTTATCATCAGCATGTACATGACATTTCTCGGTAACACATACTGAGTTGTAGTGCTTTAGATGTATAGAATTGTTGTGATGTACGTAAATCCAAAACACGCAGAAACACGACGGCAGTCACAAACCTCTAGTTCTTTGTCGTTCTTTATTGTTGTCGATCGGCCCATTCAGCAATTCACAAGCGGAATACTCAGCCTATGCTTATTCGATTCACAAACAACCGTGCAGTCGCAACAGTTAGACTCGAAAATACTTGAAAACGACTCCACAAAGGACAAAAAAAAAGCAAGCTTAAAATTTCGTGACTGAACTCGAAACCTAACAGATCACGTGACCCAAGAAACAAAGAAATACATTAAAAATATTTATTTCTGGCGGGAAAAGACACGACAATTGTTCTACACATTTCCGAGTTGAAACCTGTAATTAACCTTTTACTTTTTTCAGACTTTCTACTTCATGCAGCCTGATACCACTCCACTAAAAATGGGAAGAGATATCACTGCCAAACTTATCGGACAAGCATCGAGTAACCAAACTCAGAGTACCGAAAACCAACACGATGGACCTGCTCAGGCACATCCAAGGGCGGACGCATCTTCGTCACCCAGTACGCCAGACAGTCAAGTTCAAGTTGTACCGCTGCATACTCCTGAGGGCGCAGCTATCAAGTTCTTCTGTGTACATCCATCGCATCGTTATGCGTTGAATTTGGTGCCGATTTCAACGGGATTTCAAGGCCAGGTAAATACCAGACTGTGGAAGTAACATTTCCAAGAGCTCTAGGCCCCGCAGCTAAAGACAAATTCTCCTCATCGATCTCTATACCTTTCTTATACTTATAGCTGGGAGAATCTGTCTAAAATCACATGGTTCTTCAAAGTTGAGCTTGATACATTCCCTTTCGCTTTTATTCACTTTTGGCTATCAACGCTGACTCCATTCTGTATAATTTTTTTTTTTTTTCCCTTTTTTAATGCTTCTTTCTTATTTGTGTTCCAAAGGTTTAAACCGTTATCTTACAAGCTAAAATAGTGATCACTGCGTAATTGGCATGTTCTCATTCCTCTTTCTAGGAATTGGTATCTTTCTATGCACTGGGCTTTACTGACCCAACAGTAGTGAGTGAGGACTGGGGTGGAGTACGTGAACTTGCCTCACATTACGTTCAACTGATCACCGAGGAGCAACGCCATGGACCGTACTTTCTTGGCGGATATTCCTACGGAGGGCTTCTTGCGTACGAAATGGCGTCTTTGTTGACAGAGCAGAACCAGAGGGTAGAATTTGTAGCCATGATTGACACATTTCCGTGGTATTCCCGTTCACAGACTGTCAGCACTAGGCTGGCTTCCATGCAGGAGAATAGTAATTCGCCACGTCGACATATTCAGGTTCGTGGTCATAGTATGGACACTTATCTCAGTTGTGACTACAATTGTCCCCATCAAATTTTCGCTTTGGTCAACGCGTCTACACTTAAGCCCCGTTCACACTGCGCCGGAGAAATTTGAAAACGGCGCTTTTCACTCTGAAAAGGCAACAAAGCTCCGTTTTCAAAATGTTCTCCGTCCACACTAAAACTCAAAGCCGTGTTTGTGACGGATTAGTGTGGAAGGTAGGCCTAACCGTTGAAATAAGGCTGCGCTTTCGAATTTCTCCGACGTGTAGTGTGGACGGGGCCTTAACGACTAATTTTCTAACCACAAAATTTGACTCTTTCTGTTGGCGGAGAAACATCTTAATTGTTTTTCTCTTTAAAATTCGATGTTGACATTTGACAAGAACTTGTCTGGCTCCGAGGCAAGACGACACCGCTTTTGAAGATTATTAAAGGTTAACAGAACAAGGTGCAGCTACAATCATTGTCTGCACCTGTAAACTGCAAAACAGACGAAATTCCCCGAATGCAGATGCGCCCCTTAACCATTAGCAAAATCTCCAAACATGTAACGCGCTGATGAGTTTGTCCATAATTTGAAACATCACAGCTAAAGGGCGTGTCAGCCCATCATCGACAGTAGTACTATGTTACTTTTATCATGACGGAGTGATTCACATAAAGTTAATTCATTTCTTCGTGTTTTCAGCTTCAGTTTGAAAACTTTCTGACAAAGCTTGCAGTAGATTCCTTGAAGATGGATGTAGACGAATATAAACAGTTGAAAGAGGCACACACTCAAGACTGGATCATAGAGGAACTACAGAAGAGGAGCTTGGAGAAAGGCATCGCCACGTACAATTTGAGGGCCCTCAGAGAGGCTCTTCTGAGGAACCAAAGTATTGCCAATAGGACACATCAAGAATGGCAGCCCCCTCAGGTAGAGGCGCTTTAATTAACTGGAAATTACAAAACCAATCCATATAACGGACTCTTGTATAACGAAGGTCCTTTGGAACCTATTGCAATTTTCGGGAAAACGGTAATCGATGCGTTGGCTGCAACACGAGTAGAGTAAAATTATTAAACTTTGACATAATAGCTCTTTTCTTGACTCTTTTTCTATTATTAGGTTCGTTATCGCGGTCCCCTCACCTTTCTCAAAAGCCAAAACGCCCGCTTCTCGCCCACGCTTCGCTCATCGGACAGTGTCGAGGAAGTATGGGGCCAGTTGGTCGATGGAGGTACAACGGTGCTCGTTTGTCCTGGTGACCATTACTCATTGAGTGAGTTACCCAATGCTCACGTAACAGGTAGTATCCTAGCGACAGCCCTTGCATTCAACTACCGCTTGTTGTTCCCGGAATTCCCCAGACCCTCAAGAACATTCCGTCAAAGACGAGCCGTGGAAAAACTTTGCAGCGGAGTAAAAGTATTTCTCCACTCAAAGAAAGGTAATTTGCTCTGACAGCGTTTCAATAATGAGAAGTCGGCTGATAGCTTTTATTTCACTTCCGAGTATCGTTACGTCGTTATTAGAGAATGGTTTAAAGACGCGCTGAATGTTTATTCTCTGGCGAAGGAAGTCGAGCAGTAACAGAATGATCTTGTAGGACAGCGCTCGGCAAATGACAAAAACCTCTAGAGTGTGACGAGCGCTAAAAAGATGGATTGCAATATGGACACATTTAAAACGCTTAAGTCCACGCTTGTCCACGCCTGTAAATCGTATTCTTTTAAATCTTTCCACCAGTTTGTTGAAACGTATAACATACTTTCCCACCATAATTTGAGCCGCCTTGCAATGCTCTTTGGATTACGACCCAAACTGCGAAGAAGACTGGAAATGAGATAAATGCTTTCTCTCTTTCAATGCTGTCAGTTTTTAACTGATTCCTTGAATAGACCATTTTACAGTTGTCTGCTCAATGACCTGGCCTTTGAATGGCAGCGAAGCTGGAGGTGACTTTGTTTTGACACAGACCTCACTGCTTTTGTTGTGTAAATCAAGTTGTTTTAATGCTAACTAGGTGGATTTACCTGACAAAAGTAGAGGTCTGTATCAAAGCAAGGTCACCTCCAGCCTCGCTGTTATTTAAAGGCCAGGTCACCTAGCAGACAACTGTAAAATGGTCTATTGAGGAAATATTTTCTATGACTTTCAGTTGACCCGACAGTTTGCATCTTTGGTCTTGGGTTATTTCTAACGTTTTTTAACCATCTTGCTTTTTAGGAAACAAATGGCCACACTTTGGCGAAATATTTTTCACCGAGGATGCTCACAAACTTGAGTTGAGGTCAAGAATCGAGGAAGGAGGAACGGACGAGAACGAGAAAACCAAAAAAATAATTGACCTGAAAGGTAACAAAACTCATGAGTTAATTAAGTTATTATCTTCGCCTAGGTTTGCATGGTTTGTTGAATTTGATGTGATTTTGTTGCCTGTAGAATTCGCAAAATTTCGAATAATTTAGAATGTTTTTTCCCCTTAGCTTTTGTCCTATGAACTGTATTTCAAGAGTAAAAAACGGCGCATGTTACCAAGAGCTAAGAAAATCCGAACGAACGTTTTGGAAATTTCGAATTGATCAGGCCATGTATACAAGAAGGGACCCGGTTTTTTATTATCCCTTTCAAAGCAAAATTCGAACAAAATTAATGATTCCACCACATTGTGCATTGTCTTGTACAAAACACCTGGTAATTACGTCTTCTTTGTGCATGTGCTGTACTCGAACAGTGCATCCTTAAAACTATTTTTATATTGATAAGTTACACCTTAAAATAAATTTGTCACTAAAAACCTTTCTTTCAGGCCTCCGCATGGTGCAGCCAGGGCGACTCGTCTCCAGTGCCCAGAAGTATGCCTGGCGCAAGCGAAGAATCGGAGCTCATCAAAGTGGGAACCTGGGACAAGTTGCGTCCGTCATAACAGGTCGACGAGTTTACAACTTGGAATTCACTGATTATTCCGATCTAAAAGCGTTCTTTAACATGATAGAAGCTGTATTTGGAGTGACATTGTTGACTAGTTAGAACTGTAGCGGCATACACACTCATGACACAAAAACTTTAGTTTTAAAAGGCTACGTCATTTGCAACTTGAAGGTCCTCTTTGTTTAAACAAAAATTGAGCCATTTTTCCAAATTTCTCTTCTAACTTTCACCATTGGCTCACCTAAGAGCTATCTAGTGAGTTTTTACACGATTGTGATAAATTTGTTGACGGCAATCTTGATTAGTCACAACTTTGGTGGTCCTTGTTGTTCAATCAGGAACAGCAGAAATGGAGCCATTTTAGCCATTGCTTCTGAAACATTTAACCTTTTGCTGCAACAGTTTAGCTAGTAACCTTTTACCCAAGTATATTATAAATTTATTTGCAGCAAACGTTCGTGATTTGTAGGTTCTCCTTGTCAGATTAAAAAGTATACTATTTCACTATTTCTCTGACATTTGATCATTTAGTGCAAGAAGTTGTCTAGTATTTAGGTCGTTGTTTTTATCATTTTTATTTAGAAATAATTTGTTGCTATTAAGACGCCCTCTAAAATTATTGATCAGAATTGATTGTTTCACTTCAATTCTATAAGTTTTTAACTGATGTTTCGCTAGATAAGTCTCTTAGACAACTCTCTTTGTTGCGTAACGTTTATCCTTTTCAGTTGTAGAATTTATCATGATTTTCCAATGAGCTTCATTTTTTAGGCGTTTTGAAGCTCTCTAAGGAAAGCTATGAAATAGTGTAAACGTTCGCAAGCAGTGGTGGATCTAGGGGAAGCCCCCCCCCCCCCA